AAAGAGGTGGTTACTTAATAATTGTTTTAAACTTTCAAAATTATTTTGTACAATCCGAAAACGGTGCAGCATCCCCGGCTCCACGATGTTTCGCTCCCTCAGCAAAGGCCCTCGACCCGTTTGGAGCTTTGCCAAACGCGCGCACTTACGTGTACCGAACATTTGCTGACGTCACGACGCTACGATAAGCGTCACACCCCTCTTTTGCGACGTTGTCCCCTATTCATATTCATTGGATTCGATCAAAAAAGAGAAATTGGCGCAATAGCAAGACAATCTGGAATCTGTTGAGGGGCGGTATGAGCAAACTTTATAGGAATTAAGTAGCAACTTATTGATGTCAATCCATTATTTGCTTAGAATTAATATTCTGTTTAGATTCGTTACATTGTCTATGAAAATAGGCTTAATCCTGGATTGGTTGGCAACATTGTAGATTGAACCTGACTCGGCGCTATCCAGGGACAATAATTTACATCGTCAAATTGGGACTCGTAAATTCGTATTTCGCGATTGTACGTTTTAACACCTTTACATGTCGCATTAGTTTTGTAATTGACGATGTTAGTGGGAAAGATATGGATGTTTCCTGAAAAATTCGTTTTCCTGGATTTTATGAAACTGGCTTGTTCTCAAATGAATATTGTATCTACTTGAGCAACAACTAACGGTCATGTAGCTGATACTAATCATCAACTGGTATTATATTGATATACACAAAAATGACCCAAAGCTCTTAAGACATGGAAGCGTAAGCAATCGTCTGTTGGGGATAGCATGATGGATAACACCGTCTAAAAGGCCATCAAACCTCTTAATACATTAAAAGAGATGATGGATATTCTTCTTCACTTAAATAACTAAGGAAGAACTTCAACACGCCATTCATCGAAATATATCACAAATAAAGTCATTTCAGAAACACATGCCCATATTCTCTTATAATTTCTACTTCCCGAAATTCAAGAATAGAGGCAGCACTGCTGGTGCTAGATTATTAAAACACCTTCCATGATAAGATAGAGGTCTCATATCACACGAATGGATATGGTGAACGTCTTCTCATCATACGATCTATTGGCTGTAGAAATAGATCCCAGTTTGTTCATATAATAATTGAATTACTAGTAGGTACTGTGAGGAAGATACAGGCACTATGAAATCTAGGCTAACCGAAACCAGAATGGAGTCAAGCTTGAGAAATACGCAGGTGCTCAAAGGATAATCGTCATTGGTCCAGAAAGACCAAGGTAGGTACGTGAAAATCCTACTGAGTAATGAACACTTCCCACCTCGGTATGTAATATACTATTTTAGATTGTGCAGTCATATTGTAGTACTAGCTACGTTCTATACAGTAATACCAATATCTCGATTTTGGATTTTGGATCAATTTCTAGAACGTTTTTATCGCAAATAACATCCTATATACTAATAGGTGATACAATTAACTTGGTGCAATAATATCGGGAAATTCTGCTTATTTACCCAACTAATTACTTATCGAATTGGGTCAGGAAAACATACACACACACCGCTAGATAGTGCGTAAACAATAATATATCGAAACTAAATTTATATTTACTACGAGACTACGCTTGATGACATCACGCTCATTATCATCGTCGCATCTGCAGGAACATTTTTTTTTTTCCTGAAACAGTTATTTTTATCTTTTTACTGGCTGGATTTTGTTTTGATTAAAAACTACTTATGAATCCAAACTGTTTGTGAAACTCTAGTAAGTTCTATTGTTATAAATCATAATTTACTTTGGGGCACAATCTGGCAACAACGCAGGTTATTCAACCTTGGTGGAATAATCTAGCGCAGAACGGAACAAACGAGAATTACCTATTCAGAAGATTATAGCAGGATGGATTAAAGTACCTAGTCGATATCAAATACTTATAGTGGGGATAAGAACTGTTGTTATATGTAATATCTATGATAGAGTCACAAATTGCAAAAGCCTGGCACATCTTTTTTTAGAGAGTTTCCTATTATGTATGACCCCTTAGAAGCTGGCTGTCCCTGAACTCAAGCACACTTAACTGGCACTTGTAGTGTCTAATAATTATTTTGAATGTCTCTACTACTTCCTCACATTGCCAATGCATAGAGAGACAATAACGAAGTGAGTTTTAACGCATGTTTTGTCTGTGGTAGCAAATTCCATTCTCAAGCAAATTGTCCTAAAAGTAATGATGGAAATAGTGGATCTCAGAATTATTCAGGAGCAATCTCAGGAAATCAGGATATTTTAGAGGAAATTATTATAGACGTCGTGGACGGGGTTTTAGATCTAATCAAGGACAAAACAGACAACAAGCAAATAGTGCTGGTGCTGGTAAACAAGTTGTTCTTTTCACTGTTATATATTGGACTGACTCAGGAGCTAATAATCACTTTGTGAAAGAAAATCTGGAATCTTACATGACAAATGTCAAGACATTGAAAAATTACATATCGATTCACATAAAAAATGGTGAAATTTTAAAGTCAAACGCAGACTAGGAAAATTAAGAGCTTTTTGTCAGGGTCATTGAAGCCTAATTGTTCCAAATTTGAAACATAATATCTTGAAAAATAACTAAAAAAGGACACAAGATAATGGTAAAAAAACAAAACACAAAAATTTTTGGACCCACTGTCATAATTAAGGTGGACTGTATATACTGTATGTCGACAAAGTGATAAATCAAAATTGTCAAGTTAGTGTAGATGCTAAAACTTGGCATCAAATGTTAGGACATGCTGTGAAGCAACTTTATTAGAAGTTTCCAAAAAGATTTTTCCTTCTTATCTGGAAGCAAAAGCTACGAGGCCAACATTTCAGCAGAATGGAAAACGTGCTACAGAAATCGGGGAACTTGTGCACAGTGACCTATGTGACCCACTAACACCTTATACAATATGGTAAAGGTTATTCATTTAGAATTATACTATGTGCTATAGTCGGAAGATGAATGGTAAAGCAGAACTTATAAATCGAACACTTCCAAAAATGATCAGATCCAAGATTATCGACTCAGGTGTACCCAAGATCCTGTGGGGAGAACTGAAGTTGGTGTTCTCTCCCAAATTGCTTAACACGATTTTATCTCAGGAACTATAGGTGCAAATGAGCTGAAATTTGCAGGGATTGTAGTCCCTCTAGTGGATAAGATTCGTTGAAAATTTTAGCTTTCTATCTATAATAGAAAAAAAGTTATGACCTTTCAAAGTTTTCGAAAATTTAAATCATAAAGTCCTTCTTACTAAAACGATGAAATTTCAAATTTTTTGTTGTTGAGATTTTGTGTCCTAATGGTCAATTAACATTTTTCAAACTCCATACACTAAATTATTCTTAGATTTGAAACTGAAATCTATGAAAAAAGGAACTCAGAAAATTTGAAAAATTTTCACGATGTAGAAGACTCAAGATAAAAGAGGAGAGACGAAATTTATCAAGTAAGTGAAGAAGACATTGAAAATGACAATGAAGAAGAAATAGAGAATCAAGCTCAAACTAGGAGTGGCAGAAGAATTAAAAGACCAAATCATCTAGATGATTATGAAACTTATGAGGCTTATTGTTTATTGTCCGAATCATATGAAGAACCAAAAACCTATGATGAAGCCAGAAAAAGTAGGTGTTTGTTGTTTTTCTTGTAAATAGGTACTATAATTGCATTCCCTTGGTAGCCTAAGAAGATTGTTCGTCATGCTTAAGAGGGAATGTGACAGAATTGCAGGAAAATGACAGGGATTTCATCCTCTCCTGGACTAGAATCTGGGTTCAGTGATCTGTGTAGTGGTTACAATAATTTCAAGTGAATTAGCACAGAATTTATTGAATTTCGCTTAGAATTTCTCTCTGTAACTGTTTCGCAAACAAAATGGCAACTTCTTTCTCATCATCAGTGGTTACATCTTTAAGTGAAAATGTGTAAGTCTTGAACCAAGAGATCTGTTTATGTAGGAATAAAATTGACTAATCAGCAAAAACTAATAAATTATCAGAAACTACACATTTAATCCTTTGACTTTCAAGTCCCGTAACCAAAGAATTTTGGCTTGTAGAAGCTGCTTTTATATTCCTGTCTTCTGCAATATTTGCATTGATGTTATATTCTGATGATGAACTCAAAAAACAAATACCTACAATTTTCCCTTATGGTTATTATTTATTCATCAGAATTACCAAAGTTGTTTTGTGTTGGCTCGTTTCATGAAAACATAAAAGCAGCTCCCACAAAGACCATAAAATCCATCTTAACCCCAGCTAAAAGTAAAGTAGAGTATTCCCCTAGAATAAATCCCTTAGGACAGTTCAAGTAGTTATTAAATTTTGTTTGCTATTGGAAGTGATTCTGCAACTTCTCGTCTCCGGTAATTTGATGAGGCCTCTTCAGGAATGGAATATAAGGGTCTCGGATACGATGAAGGATTCAATCAATAAACTGATATTCAATTATGCTGCAAGCATCCAAATTTGCAAGAGAAATATCGGTTGTTATTAAAATACTCCTTTACCTATAAAAATGAGATACATAATGGCAGATTTTTATTCGTTTTTTTATTTTTATTGCGCATCGGGTGACATCACCGTATTTTTTATTACAGCTTACTTATTTACTTGTTTGCATCAAATGAAAATTCATGGTCAATAAACCAGTTAAGAAAATACATTGAAACAAATTAATGGTATTTGGACAACCAAGAGCGCACAAATCGATTCCATTGTACGACAGTGTGTTGTTGTTGTTTAGATTGAGTGTAGTTGTATTTGAATTTCAAATTGCCCGCCAAATCTCGGATTATGTATTATACATACAACTTGAAGATGCAGTCGTAAAACAGCGACACTCTATACATGAAAAATTATAGTTTGAAGACATTTGAAGTAAAAGTTAATCATGTTATAATTGGATTACTGTTGGAATTTTGTGGAAGTCTTTATTACAATAATTCATATTGTCAATGTGAAGCTTTCTTATAAAGGAACAACTTACAGCTGGCACTTGTTCTTCTTCGGGATGCTGCGCAGGCTGCAACTCCTGATACGAATCGCTGGACGATCGCCGGCTCCCGGCGCCGCAAACTGCGCGACGCAGCGCGCGCGTCACCAGCGTCCAGCACAGACCGCAACGACGGTGCGCGGCCGGTGCGCCACTGTGACGTCTGCGTCCGGCCGCTGCACCGCCAGTCACCTGCCGGCCGCCAGCGCCATCCCCGCAGCACGCCACTGCGCCCGGCTACCGTACCAGAGCTGCGCAGTACTTTTATGCCCCTCTCATTGTTTTTTCGTTGCTCTGTGGCCGTATCTGAAATATATTTTAGATTACTTTTTACGTTATCCATTTGCAAGTCAAGTGCTGTTTCATTATTGTACTATAGCACGATGTACCTAATAAAAACTGAGAAATTGTAGTAGAAAGAAATAATTTTTGTAACATCTCCAGCAAATATTCCTCCAGGGGCGAATATAGGCCTTTTGAAAGGGAGGGGGGGGGGGCAGTTTAAGTTAAAGTAAGCCAGATAAGGTTAGTTTGGGCCCAGTTTAGTTTGGGTTAGTTTTGACAGCGCATTGTGCAAGATATGGTTTTTCGAAGGAATGGCCCATAAAAATATAGGAATGGGGAAACTATTTAGGAAAATAAGGTGATTTTAAATAGGTAGGTACAGGATGTTTTTTTATAAATTGACACGCCACCTACAGCCTTTAGCTTTACAGGTAAAAGAAAAGTGTAAATAACAAAAGTTGTACAGTTTCGGCTGAATTTTTAGAAACCATGGTCAGAAATAAAATTTGTATGTCAGAAATGTGAAATATTGCATGCTTTCAGCTTTTTCCAAATGGGATGCCCTATATTTCATTCCATATTCCTGAGGAGCACAATGCCCCGATTCCAAAAATATATAGTTTGTCTATATTTGATTGAACAGTCTCTCCTGAACCATTCTACCTATACAGGTGAAATTTGAGGTACTTGGTTTCTCTGATAGCATTTTTAAAATTTTTAAAACCAAATATGTTGGAGTCGGCCCAATCAAATGTAGATAAACTATATATTTTTGGAATCGAGAAATTGTGCTCTTCAAAAATATAGAACCAAATATAGGGCATTCCATTTGAAAAAAAATTAAAGCATGCAACATTTCACATTTCTGACATTCGATTTTTGTTTCTGACTGATGTCAATTTAGTCAATACTGTATCTACAACTTTTGTATTCACACCTTTCATCTACTTCTAAAAGTGAAGACTGTAGGTGGGGTGTCAATACATAAAAAAACATCTTGTACTTGAACAATAACTTATTATATAAAGTCAGAATTTGTAAGATTATCCACGTTTTGTCAGTTTGCCTTTCAACAGGAATTAGTAAGTAATGTTACTTCACCAAACTAGTAAGATAATGTGACAAGTTATTCAAGTACAAACGAGTGGATTGTTGCGGAATTTATAGGTGTACCTCTGCGGAACTCGCTGCGCTCGTCCCGCAGCCATCTATTCATCAATATGTTGTGTAATTACGATACTAACCTGACTCACTCAAATGTGAGTTATTCTCATTAATTTAAAAATTACACATTTCAGGTGAATGTCTTACTTGAACAGTTCAACAGTAAATTGGTGATTAGATGGCTGCGGAACTCGCTGCGCTCGTCCCGCAGAGGTCCACCCATAAGTTCCGCAAAAATCAACTTATTTGTACTTGAACAATAACTTATTATATAAAGTCAAAAGTTGTAAGATTATGATTACTCACTTTTTAACAATTTGCCTTTCAACAGGAACTAGTAATGTTACTTTACCAAACTAGTAACATAATGTGACAAGTTATTCAAGTACAAACGAGTGGATTGTTGCGGAATTTATGGGTGGACCTCTGCGGGACGAGCGCAGCGAGTTCCGCAGCCATCTATTCATCAATATGTTGTTTAATTACGATACAAAACTAACTCACTCAAATGTGCGTTATTCTCATTAATTTAAAAATTACACATTTCAGGTGAATGTCTTACTTGAACAGTTCAACAGTATATTGGTGATTAGATGGCTGCGGAACTCGCTGCGCTCGTCCCGCAGAGGTCCACCCATAAGTTCCGCAATAATCAACTTATTTGTATTTGAACAATAACTTATTATATAAAGTCAAAATTTGTAAGATTATGATTACTCACTTTTTATCAATTTGCCTTTTAACAGGAATTAGTAATGTTACTTTACCAAACTAGTAACATAATGTGACAAGTTATTCAAGTACAAACGAGTGGATTGTTGCGAAATTTATAGGTGGACCTCTGCGGGACGAGCGCAGCGAGTTCCGCAGCCATCTATTCATCAATATGTTGTTTAATTACGATACTAAACTAACTCACTCAAATGTGCGTTATTCTCATTAGTTTAAAAATTACACATTTCAGGTGAATGTCTTACTTGAACAGTCCAATATTACCTATATTGGTAATTAGATGACTTTGTCAAACAACGACGAATTACCTTTACAACAAATTGACGTCCGACATATTGATTTACGACGAATTGACGGTGCGATCCTCTAGTGGTATACTGCTGTGCATTTCGGCAACTTTGTTCGCTACAAATGTTTTCCATTTAGCCGCATCATCTCGAATCCATCCCTACATTGTCATCGAATCAGTTCATACATTAACCGAACTTTCTTTATGTTTAAAGGGTCTGAGGATGTGTAATTTTGATAATAACACTGCTCTAATCTGGGAAGCGTAGTTTTCATGTCTTCATCTTTTTAGAAGCCAGTAGGGATTTGGCTTGAACTTTAACTGGCTGCCTTTATATAATGTCTCCATTTAGGAATTCCAACTTCTTCTATTTTCTTCAATAGGTTTTGTAATATCTTCCACCTTTCAGCAATTCCATCATCTACGATTTGATACCATCACAGATTTTTTATCCATAAGTTTTGGAGTAAGTAATAGCTTCGCTTTGATAACTATTGGTGCCAGCAAACCCAATGGATCAAATAGTTTTGATTTCTCTAATATGCCGTTTTGTTAGCGTATGATTCTGTTGAACTAATACTCAAAATCTGAATGTATCATCAGTTGTCGATCATAATACCACAAGCGACTTCGTCGTATCATCCTGTGGTAACTGGTGGAGTGTTTTTTCTTGGATCTCTCTTGCAAAATTCCGAAGAAAATTTTTGCTCGACCATTTACGTAAATTTAAACCAGCGGATTTCAACATCTGGCACCATTTACCTTTGTAGTTCTATTGCGGAATCGATAGTGTTTGCTCCGGACTAAATGTCATCTACACTTTTATACAGGGTGTTTCAGAAATAGTGTTACAAACTTTAAGGGCGGATATAACTCATCAAAGTAAGAGAAAAAGTTCCTATTAATATTGGTCCGGAAATGTTTCGCTTCCGAGTCATTTACGCTAGAAATTACAACAAAAAAGTTTTTTTTTGCCTTATATTTTTTAATTTTTGAAATAAATAGCTGAAATTTCCTCGGAAATTTCATATAGAGCGTATATGTTTTGTTATTTTTCAAAAATGGCCATAGTCTTTACGATAAATTAAGGGGTGTTTTGTCTTTTTTGGAAAACACCGCCAAAACTATTTGAGATACGAAAAAAGTGCAAGATACCAAAAACCTTTGCAATGAAACGGAGAAGCTAGTGGCTCAAAAAAAAAATAATTAAAAACGTGCTGATAAAAAATTTAAGGTGGTTTTGAGTGGTGTCACCCCCCAAAAAAGACAAAACCCCTTGATTTGTCGTATGAAGATTGTGACCATTTTTGTAAAAGAACAAAAGATATACATTTAGTTTAAGTGCTTTGTCACCAAGATTGTTATTTCTTATGGCAATAAAGCTTTTTTTGACTTTGACTTTGACTTTGATATACGCTCTGTACAAAATTTGAGCTACTGAGGAAAACCACTTATTTAAAATATTATTTCTTAAAATCTTAACTTTTTAAAAAAACGTTTACTGAATAAAAGTAAATGTTGCAACCATGTATGCGCCCTCAAGTTTAGGATTGAACGAGCGCGCAACAGAAAACGAAGGTACCGAAACCGAAAAGGATACAAGAGAATACGAAAGTCTTTTTGTGCTGAAATTTTCCTACCCTGACGAGAGAATATCCTAACAAATTGAAATAATCAATCTAGAGATATTGGCTCAAAAACAACTAGAGCTGTGAGTTTACGTAACCAGGGACCTCAGTACCTGCCACAGATGGGCTAACTAACAAAAAGTCTTCAGTATTGATTATAGGTAGTGTTGATTGAATGTGTGTGTAATTAAAACTTTAGCACAAGAACAGGGGCGGTACTTAGTTTCAACTTTTATTGAATTAATGACTCACAATTATTATAAAAATGACACAGTATGTTTCGATTTTTGAGGAATGTTAGATCGAGGGTTTCTCTGCCGTGCTCTTTCCCCTCGTTAGTTTCAGGATGAGAACGGTACGATTTACTTTAATAATAAAATAGACTTTTCACAAATTTTTCGTTTCTTTTACATATTACAACTTCCCTTAAATTTCCCAAATATTTGCTATGTCGGGCGCATGTCCAGTAAGTAAAATTGGAGTAAGTTTCCACAACGTAGGTCCTATTTGTTTTTCATTTCGTTTTTCAGAAGATTTGTTGTTTAAAAGGTGATACAAATTCTCATCGTTCAATCTTACTGAACGAACCCGGGTATGTTATACTACACTATTTATCTTAGAAATTGAGAAATATAATACAAAAAAGCCTTTTATTTTTTTGAATTTATAGCTCCGATACCTCAAAAACGAAACATTTCCGGACCCATATTTATAAGAACTTTTGATGAGTTATATCCGCCCTTAAAGTTTGTAATACTATTTGTGAAACACCCTGTATAACGGTGTTCCTTTGCTTGCACTAAAGTCTGCAATGTCTTGATCGCGAAATACGTCGCTGAAATCGTCCTATACGTAACAGTTGTAAGCTGATACTCACAAATTGGCTTTGACTTTCCATAATATCCTTTGATATGGGTGATCATTGAGATGAATTCGAATTGACGATACATTTTGTCGATATCAGCAGTGAATGCTATAGTCCGTTGCATGGTTCTTGACCTACGGCTACTGAATAGACAGAGGGGACAATGGGCTATTGCTGCGTTGTCAGTTGTCTATCGATAATATTTATTAATACATGGAAATTGCAATAAAATTTCCTTCATTTTCACGTAATAATAAATATTATTATTGATATGACAACGCAGCAATAGCTCATTGTTCTTTCTGTCTATTCAGTAGTCGTAGCTCAAGAACCATGCAACGGACTATACTTTGTGTTTTCTCCATCTTACAAAGATGTCTGCTAAATTCTGTTGTATTCTGGAACCAGCGTGCATGATTTCGTTAAGGCTGGTTTCAGCTGATGTTTTGCTAGATGCATCATAAATAACCCAAAGTCGTGTAGTTGTGCTTGATTTTTTTACAACGGGTTGTTGAGATATAAATAATCGCCTTCGTTAATTTGTAAGCTTGGAACCTTTACCATGTGTCCGAGTTCAGTCATGAATGTTGAGTATTTTTCTTTAAGATTCTGATCTTGTAGGAATTTATTTTCTAGACTAAGTAGTCTTGCGATAGGTTTTGGTTTTGACTGCCCTAAGTAACTGGTTGAGTTTTTAAATGGAATCCGAATGTGCTGTTCTTATTCCTTAATATTGTTTGCTCATAGAATTCTTCACAGATTTGATCATTTTCTGTGTACTTGTCAGCTTGTGTAACTTCTTCCAATTCCCAGAATTTAATCAATTGTTTGTCTTTTTCTGATTGAGTTACCAGACTAATAACTTGTAATGGTGGTCTTTTGGTTTGAACTAGACCTGATGAAAGTTCTCTGTTATGCTTAAGAAGATCGTCTTCAGTTTTCTGGATGCCATTAAGTATGACGTCTATGGAACCGGACTTCATGAAGGTCGGATCTGCTAGTAGTTCATTTTTCCAAGATTCTATCCACTAATTTGGACTTCCTCCGCAGGTGTTGTTTGAGTTAACTTGGCCAGTACCATTATGTTAACTAGCATAGTGAATTTGCTAGAAACTCGTGGTTTTAGGTGTATATCATACATTGTCATTAGATACGAATTGGTTTCTTTCTACTATCGATAGAATTAGGAAGCTAAAACATTGGTTGATGATATGTCGTGTTCAATATTGGTTTCCCATACTGACGGCGTTACAGTCTCTAAAGAATGAAATCTTCTTTCCAAAAATTTCATCAACGTATCAAAGTCTTGTATTTCATGAGGGTCCTGGATACTTTGTTCATAGACTTTGTTCGTCTCTGAATCCCATTTCCTTGAAATAAGTCGTATTATCATTGGACCCCATGACTGTTTTCATACCCAAAGTATATGGAAATTGTGTTTATTTCAGAATTGGTTGAATTTCGTATATAATGTAGACCACGTCTTCCTAATTAAAAGTTTTCATTGCATCAATCCTGAAAAATGACTCCTTTTTGAGAGAATTAATTTCATATTTAGTAAATAAAACGCTTGGGCATTGTAATGGACGTTCAATGTTGCACGAATAGGTAAACTTGTGACGCATTGGTGTGCTACATGCAGTCATTTTCCAGGATTGGTGCAATGGTAACTTTTAATTAGAAAGGCGTGATCTACAATATATACAAAATTCAGCCAATTCTGACAAACACAATTTCCGTATACTTGGGGCAGCGTTCTTTGTGATTGCTTGGTTACATTGTGTAATTGTTCAATTTTATCTGCTCTTTCCATTTGTACTACTGGAAGATCAATAATTGTGTCTAGAAGTTTTAAAACGAGAAGTCTTGAATTTCGATAAGCTCCATGCTGTCTCGTAATTGAATTCTGACATTGACAGATGTTGAATAACTTTACCTCGTACATATGCCTCTTCAAGAATTGTATCTTTTCTTGGTACTGATTGCTTGATTTTCATTTATCACTTGCTTGAATATTTCATAAAATACGAGCCAACTGTCGTAATTTCCATGAAAAGGTGGAATTGTTACTGCTGGAACCATTACATGCTGTCTGGTAACTGTAAATACTACTGGAAACGCAGGTTGAATTGAACAGCAGAAAAAAAAATGGAAAAGTAAGGGTCATTTACATTCACTTAACATAAGGGAAATTATAATTAATGTACGAAACTGACAAGATGTGTTTTTACAATGAAGTTAATTTTCTTATTCCAAGCATGCGCACTTATAACCTCAACTATTAAGTCAAATTACAACGCGTAGAAACAAAAGTATATCGCTACATCGTTGTGATTAGCACACTTACTACACGGATTTCCTTGATTAACTCAACTTTTCTGTGTGTATACGTTAATTTTCAAGTGGATAACTACGTAGGTATAGTACATGATCGTCAACTCTTCTTTATCATCAATTTTCCATACGTTAAGTGAAATGAATATAAATGACCCTTTACAGCCACTTGATTCGTTTTATGTACAATTCAGAGTGATTGGTTTATTACGATACTAACCTGACTCAGTCAAATGTCAGTTATTCTCATTATTTCAAAAATTACACGTTTCCGGTGAGAGTCTTATTTGAATAGTTCAACAATATATTGGTGAGTAGATGGCTGCGGAACTCGCTGCGCTCGTCCCGCAGAGGTCCACCTATAAGTTTCAAAATAATCCACTTATTTGTACTTGAAAAATAAAGTCAGAATTTGTAAGATTATCCACTTTTTGTCAATTGGCCTTTTAATAGGAATTAGTAATGTCACTTTACCAAACTTGTGACAAGTTATTAAAGTACAAACGAGTGGATTGTTGTGGAACTTATGGGTGGACTCAGCCATTTATTCACCAATATGTTGTTCAAGTACAAAACTAATCTGATTCACTTAGTTGTGAATTTTTCTCATTAGTTCAAAAACTACACGTTTCAGGTGAGTGTCTTATTTGAACAGTTCAACAGTATATTGGTGAGTAGATGGCTGCGGAACTCGCTGCGCTCGTCCCGCAGAGGTCCACCCATAAGTTCTGCAATAATCCACTTATTTTTACAGGGTGTTTTTTTATAAATTGACACCCTACCTACAGCCTGTACCTTTACATCCTGGATATAAATAACATAGGTCCAACAACGTCGAGTCCAGTCATCAGAGGAACACGGAAGAGAACACTTCGTCCTCTACTACAACCTCTGAAGATGTATACCGCAGCAGTAGACGAAACGTTAGGTAGAAATACTAATGAACTACGGCATTATAGCCCGGAGAAAAGTTTTTTACTAGATTATAACAAACTGTTACCTAGTTTCGTGTTGGGGATTCAATGATAAGTCTATAGACAAATTACTCTACGCATCATCGAATTGTACTATAGTACTATAATGAGTCTGTTTATTGAACGATTTAAGAATTATCATGGTACATACCTGCGATTAAATTCCTGATGGTTATCCTTTAAATGTAGCGTTACCACTGCATCACAAACAAAAAAATAAACAGTCACATTGTTCAATTATTATCCATTTTTGTACACTTAACTAGAACACTGGGTACCATCTGAAAAAACGGAAATTCTATTTTTTTTTAATAAGTTGGAGGGTTTTAAAATGGTATTTTGCTGCCCGAAGTAATATGTAAAGAATGGGTGCAAAGTTGAGATTTTAAGGACTCATTCCGAAGGGTTTGACGCAAAGTATATCAAAAACTGACTGCAATTGATTCACTTTTGAATATGATGTGTTTTAAAGTAAACCTTTAGATATAAGTCAATCATCCTAATTTTCTCTCAAAAACTAAAATGGGTGCATCGTTGAGATTTTGAGGACTCATTCCAAAGGATTTGAGGCAAAATATATCAAAAACTGACTGCAATTGATTTACTTTTAATGGAGTTGTGAATTTTTTCACCTTCACTTAATTTTCTCACTCAAAAACCTAATTTGCCCCCAAAACTGTTAAGAGAGAACGTGAAGGATAGAAATTTCCAAAGTTCACCGACTCCATTATGAAGGGAGAAAATACGTGCAGGAAACTTTGTATTTACGATAATAAGGCCCTCTTATTTGACACGTATTCCCAATTTTCTTGAAGTCAATTTTTTCCTTTCTCTAAAATTATGACATAAAATTGAGAATTCCAACACTTAATTCTATTTTCTTTGGACTATAAATTGACGTCCAAAGTTTTAAATTGGCATTAGCATAGGTACTTATTATTACATTTGGACAAATTGCCAAAAAGTTTAATGTACTTTTAACAGTAAATACCTAGTACGTCAGCGCCGAGGTGCACCTAACCGAGAAACAACAACACAATTAACGTTATATTAAACAACATACGAAATTATATTATTAATAGATAAGGTTAGCCTAAAATTAGATTTCTAATTGCTATACATAGGACGCCTTTTATTTTTGTGATTTTAAATTTTGTATATTCACCTATAGTTTATCAAACTGTATAGTGTTATTATAATCTTCTTATCTTTTTCTGCTTTCAATTCAATTTGAAAAGATAATTCAGTTTGTTTAACTTATTTGTTCAGTTTTGGACCCACGTCAAAGTCTTGTATAGCGAAATTTTCAGTTAAATGGGTTCAACCACCCTTATTTTCCACAATGGAAATTCGAGGGAGGGTTTCCGCAATGATCGATACGAAATCCATGTGGGCCTTAGCGTCGATACATCAAAAAAAAAAGGCAAATTGATTACGTGTGTAAAACATCAGGAGATAATATGCGAAGAGTGTATCGATTACCTGTTGTGACACAGAATTTTATAAATAACTCATATATTATGCAAATGGAATTATGGATATTGAAAGTTTTCCTGGATTTTAGTGTAACATTGTTTTTTATATGATGTTATTGGAGAAAATTTGTTATTATAATAGTTATTTATGGTACCTACTAATGTTGAAAATAAGTCACATGAGAAAAAATTATACCAGGAGGCCGTCAGGCCGAGTGGTATAATTTCTTGAGTGACTTAGAAAACATAAAACACGAGTGGCATGCAATGTTTTATCCAACAACTGCAAAATCATAACACACGAGCAGCATAGGCAAAGGTCTGTATGGTATAATGTGGTTAGAGCACATTCAGGCCCGACAAGAGTGGGGGGGGGGGGGGGGGGTAGACGGGACAAATTCCCGGATTATACGTTTAAATTTTGCTTGACAAGTGTCACATTCAAAAGGATGGATAACGCCTTTTCGCTTTACGAGTGTCACATTCAAAAGGATAAATATCCAAATGTGTCGAAATGTGATTCTTTAAATTGGTTTTTCGTTTAAGGCCAGAGTTACCCAACTTCTTAATTCCTAATTTTTATCCTTAATTCTTAATTCTTAAAAAGTTCAATTTATTTACCATTGGTGTTTTTAAAGATTGAGAACCAAAATTAAGAATTAAGGAATTAGGTAACCCCGGCCTAAATTTGGCTTTGCAAGTATCACATGCAAAAGGATAAATATCCGAGTGTTTTAAAATGTGATCCTTTGGATTGCCGTTTCGTTTGAATTTTGCTTTGCAAGTTTTTTTTACCGGGGTCCGAACCAGCTCTCGGCGGCTCTGAGTGCCACATTCAAACCCCTGATTATTTTTAACGGCTGTCAAATTCGACAACTGAGAACAAAAGTACCGGCGCTAAAAGTATTAATTAATGTATTTGTGTGCTGTTTAAAAAATCAAAAGACCCCATATTTTAACAGGTTATGGGCCCAGGTCATCGTTTGATCTGATTTTTGTTTTTCTTTAAGAAAAAGTAAAAAGGGTGTGTTCCAGAAAGTGACTAACAGGAATGGCAGATAAAACTGATGATATTGCGACAGTGAATATAAGTTTGATGGCTCTAATTTCCAACAATGGAAATTCCAGTTGCAGTGTGCTCTGCGAACCAAAGAACTCTATGATCGGGTTATAGATGGATCTTCAATTAAACCAAATGAGACGCAAATTCAAGAATTAGAAGTGTGAAATAGGAAAGATGCCCAGGCAACCTTCCTACAAGGAAGCCTTCTTACAGCATTTATTTGAAGATGCGAGTTGTTCCAATTTCGAAGAATGCTTTTCGGTCTCAACAACGCCCCTGCTACATGGCAAAAGTTGATAGATAATGTTTTAAGTACGGACTATGTATATAGACTTTCGTCCCTTGGTATTGCAGATGGTAGCTTTTAGAGTTTTATAGACCTAAATTTCTATTGGAAATTGCATTCTAGTAAAAACCTTCTTACAAGGAAGCCTCTGACAGCATTTATTTGAAGATGCCGAGGTTGTTCCAATTTCAAAGAATACCTTTCGGCTTCAATAACGCGCCTGCTATATCCTCCTGAAGGAACATCTTTATTTGTGATGTAGCTGTTTATCCTTACCTCGGCTATAAATCTCAATCAGATAACCTTCAGTTGAAAGTTGTGAGTCTGCTAAAGACATGATGCAAATATTAGAATCTATTTTTGAACAAACATCTCAGGCAAACAAGATGATGTTGCAGGAATGATTCCACCAATATAAAATGAATGCCTTAGATAAGGTAGCTCAACATGATTCTTCAGGGACAGGCAGATGATCTGGATGCACCCTGTAGACAGACTACATCCGAAAAACCGAAATATCACCTTATCACAATTGGAAACATTATGCTTACTTTTGATTTTGGAGAGATTGAGAGTATAACTTATCGGCATAGATTTTGTATGTATTACAGATTCCAATGCATTAAGACACATTTACCTACGTTCCCAATTTTCTTCCCTCCCTTGCAGATGGTAACTTTTAGAGTCTGATAGACTTAAATCTCTATTGGGAATTCTATTTACTGAAAAGCTTCTTACAAAGAAGCTTCTGACAGTATTTATTTGAAGATACAAGTTATTCCAATTTTGAAGAATGCCTTTTGGTCTCAACAACGCCCCTGCTACATAGCAAAGGTTGATAGATAATGTTTTAAGTACGGACTTAGAACCGAAGAACCAACTACAAGATTGGATATATAATATATAGTCTTTCCTCCCTTAGCATTACAGATGGTAGCTTTGAGAATTTTATAGACTTAAATCTCTATTGGGAATTGTATTTTAGTAAAAACCTTCTTACAAAGAAGCCTCTCACAGCATTAACTTGAAGATGCGGAGGTGGTTTCAATTTCGAAGAATGCCTTTTGGTATCAACAACGCCCCTGCTACATGGCAAAGGTTGATAGATAATGTTTTAGGTACGGACTTGGAACCGAAAAAATTAGAGGTGTAGAAGATTGGGTATATAATATATAGACTTTCCTCCCTTGGTATTACAGGTGGTAGCTTTGAGAATTTTATAGACTTAAATCTCTATTGATATTCTAGTAGAAACCTTCTCACAAGGAAGCCTCTGACAGCATTTATTTGAAGATGCGGAGGTTGTTCCAATTTCGGCTTCAATAACGCGCCCTCTACATCCTCCTGAAGGAACACCTTTATTTGTAATACAGATGCTGATTGATTAATGCGGCGCTTCTTCAATCTAGAAAGTCTCAATCACGGTATTGTGTGATCCATATGTGCATGTACCAGAACAGAAACGGAAAAAACTGAATGCAAAGAGTCAAAAGCTAATGCTTGTTGGTTATGATAAAAACTCGACTAACTACAGATTCATTGATCCACAAATATAGAGAATAATTATTTTAAGAAATGTTGTCTTTGATGAGAGAGCTAAAAATGTCAAACAGATTGAAGAACAGTAGAACAGCTAAGTTGCAGAAATGAGACCTGAGATACAAGATCATGAGAAAATGCAAGATAATGAACAGGGGGAAGCAAATAATCAGGAGAATCCGGAAGTGAATTTACCAAACTTACGACCTTGAAGAAATATTTGTTTTTCAGTAAGATTACAAAACTACAAGGTAAATTTCACAGAAATGGATATTCCGCTGACCTACAATGAGGCAGTAGCATAGATGAAGAACTTGAAGCATTATTGAAGAATGAAACATGGAAAATAGTTGAATTGCCAGAAGAAAATTGATTCGAAGTGGGTGTTCAAAGTTAGGAGAAAACCAGACATCAATAATTACACAACCTCGCACTGTAATTCTGTCAATAGAATTATTCGCTATTTAATTGGGACCATAAACTACAGGATTTGCTATGAAAAATATCCAGCTACATGGATTTAGTGACGCTGACTATGCCAGTGACTTGTCGATCCACCACGAGATATGTTATCAAATTAGCAAACGAACCAGTAACTTAGTCTAGTAAGCGACAGTCAACGGTTTCATTGTCAACCACAGAATCAGAGTTTATAGCTGCGTCACAAGTTACTAAAGAGACGATATGGCTAGAAAGATTGTTTTTAGATTCAGATGAAGAAGTAATCAGAAAGCCAATCAAATTAATCAATAAGAATTCAGAATTTCACCAAAAAACAAAGCATATAGATATCAAGTTCAAATTTATCAGAGAAAAATATGAACTTGGACATTTGAATTCAGAATATATAAGTAGGTACAAAGGAGCTGGAAGCTGATATAGGTATTCACCAAGGCTCATGAGAACTTTACAGGAAGATTGGTAATTCAAGACCAAAAGGTGATAAATTTATAATTTAGAATACTTTGTTCTCTGTGTTATCTCAAGTAGAGTTTTAAGTTTTTTCTAGAAATGTATTGTAATTAAAACACACAACAATATGACAATGTTGAAATAAGGTTGAGTTAATTGTTATTTTGTAATGTTGTTTTGTGTTAACAGTGTATTTAGTTTTGTATGTGACAGTGGAAGTGGAAAGTTAATTGATTCTTATCAAGCGAATTTACCTACGTTTCCAATTTTCTTCTCTTCCTTGGTATTGCAGATGGTAACTTTAAGAGTTTGATGGACTTAAATCTCTATTGGGAATTATATTTTACTTACAAAAAATGCATTTATTTGAAGATGTGAGTTGTTCCAATTTCGAAGAATGCCTTTTGGTCTCAACAACGCCCCTGCTACATGGCAAAGGTTGATAGATCAGTGGTATTAATAAGATGAAGTAAAAGCTCAGACTCAAAATATTCCAAGTACCTATATGCTGCAACTGGTATTAAAAAACAAAGTTAACTTTTTGCTCAATCTCGGTTGACTCTAGTTTGTGAGCCTTTGCTCTAGTAGATATAAATAAAAAAAAAAGTATTTGCTTCTGATGGAGCATCTGGTCCATTTCACTTGAGTCTAGTCAGTAGCAAACTCAACTTAGGAAGAAAGTGACACCATGGCCGAATTTATAAATAATTTACGCAATCCTAAAGTATATTCAGTTCGTAGAGACGTGGACGATCGAGACTGGAAAGTGTTATATCGATTTGAGAAGGAAAATGTTGAATGGATGCGTGAACACTTTCTGGGTCATTCAGAGGAAAGGAGAGGACGAGCTCTCACGCCACTGCAACGTTTTAAAAAAAATTTAAGGTATGTGGCGGATCCTGGTTTTTAGACTGACGTTGCTACAGATATAGGAGTTCGCCAACCAACTGTCTCAAACGTCATTGCAGAAATTATTCCAAGAATACAAAAAGCTGATTATTGGATCCATTTTCCTTCTACTGACGAAGAATTTGAAAGAGAAAAGGCTGCATGGTAAGAGTCATGCAATTTCCCTTATGCAATAGGAGCAATAGATTGCACTCATATCCCCATTTTGAAGCCTGCTGTCCATGGAAACGAATATACCGACCAAAAAGGATTCTCCAGCAACATGTTCTCGCAACTTGCAACAGCTCAGAAATTTATTCAATATATATTCATATTTCTTTAGTAACTGAACGCCACATCAGATATATCGTCGTTATTAGTTGCCATTTTAAAATCACACAAGCCCAATACCGCTAAGAAACAAAACGACTGTAGTATTCCTAATTCATCATTATTTTGCAGGTTGAGAGATATTTTTATCTGAATCCAAAACACGTACCCCATGTCACTTCGCATATGCTCATGATACTTGAGTTCAAGCTAGAAATTCAGGGAATGCTCAGCTTGTGTTTATTTATACCAAGCAACAGTAAAATCTCATACTCTGCCCTCATACTTCGAGTATTTACTCCGTGCTCAGACTCAGGTTTATTAATACCACCCAATGTTTTAAGTACGGACTTGGAACCGAAAAAATTAGACGTCTACAAGATTGGGTATATAATATATAGACTTTCCTCCCTTGGTATTACAGATGGTAGCTTTGAGAATTTTATAGACCTAAATCTCTATTGGGAATTGTATTTATTTGAAGATGTGAGTTGTTCCAATTTCAAAGAATGCCTTTCGGTCTCAACAACGTCCCTGCTACATGGCAAAGGTTGATAGATAATGTTTCAAGTACGAACTTATTGGAACCGAAAAAATTAGACGTCTACAAGATTGGATATATAATATATAGACTTTCCTCCCTTGGCATTACAGATGGTAGCTTTGAGAATTTTATAGACCTAAATCTCTATTGGGAATTGTATTTCACTGAAAATCTTCTTACAAGGAAGCTTCTGACAGCATTTATTCGAAGATGCAAGTTATTCCAATTTCGAAGAATGCCTTTCGGTCTCATCAACGTCCCTGCTAACTGGTAAAGGTTAATAGATAATGTTTTGAGTACGGACTTATTGGAACCGAAAAAATTAGAGGTCTACAAAATTCGGTGTATAATATATAGACTTTCCTCCCTTGGTATTACAGATGGTAGCTTTGAGAATTTTATAGACCTAAATCTCTATTGGGAATTGTATTTTACTGAAGAACTTCTTATAAGGACGCCTCTGAATGCATTTATTTGAAGATGTGAGTTGTTCCAATTTTGAAGAATGCCTTTTGGTCTCAACAACGTCCATGCTACATAGCAAAGGTTGATAGATAATGTTTTAAGTACGGGCTTATTGGAACCGAAAAAATTAGAGGTCTACAAGATTGGGTATATCATATATAGACTTTCCTCCCTTGATATTACAGATGGTAGCTTTGAGAATTTTTATAGACCTGAATTGTATTTTACTGAAAAACTTCTTACAAGGACACTTCTGAATGCATTTATTTGAAGATGTGAGTTGTTCCGATTTCGAAGAATGCCTTTCGGTCTTAACAACGTCCATGCTACATGGCTAAGGTTGATAGATAATGTCTTAACTACGGACTTGGAACCGAAAAAATTAGAGGTCTACAAAATTGGGTATATAATATAAAGACTTTCTTCCCTTGGTATTACAAATAGTAGCTTTGAGAATTTTATAGACCTAAATTTCTATTGGGAATTATATTTTACTGAAAAACTTCTTATAAGGACACCTCTGAATGCATTTATTTGAAGATGCGAGTTGTTGCAATTTCGAAGAATGCCTTTTGGTCTCAACAACGCCCCTACTACATGGCAAAGGTTGATAGATAATGTTTTAAGTACGTACTTATTGGAACCGAAAAAATTAGAGGTCAACAAGATTGGGTATATTATAGACTTTCCTCCCTTGGCATTACAGATGGTAGCTTTAACAATTTTATAAACTTAAATCTATATTGGGAATTGTATTTTAGTGAAAACCTTCTTACAAGGAAGTCTCTGACAGCATTTATTTAAAGATACGGAGGTTGTTCCAATTTCAAAGGATGCCTTTCGGCTTCAATAACGCGCCCTGAAGGAACACCTTTATTTGTAATGAAGCTGTTGATTGATAAATGCGGCGCTTCTTCAGTCTAAAAAGTCTCAGTCACGGTATTGATCTCAGTCTCAACTCTCAGTCTAGTTATTTCGCAATAAGTAAGGCTCAAAGGACCATGAGCTAACATTGAAATTTTTCAACACGCTCATTGGAATTTTATCAGTCATTGGCCTCAAAAAATTGCAATGAGGCAACATTTATTTTGTAATTCTCGTTGCTTCAGCAAATAACAACCGATTTGAATTTAAAGTTGTTTAATATTTAGGGCTAACATAAGAAAAACTGGTCTTGTCTGGAAAGTAGGTAGTTGTCGACAGACCCCTCAAGCAAACATTAAACAGGGGGAGCGATAAATCAATAAAGGGGTTGCGGTGCAAAGTTGGAGTTTTCCTTATTGAAGGTTTTCAGAAATAGAAAACTGTTTCCCATTCAACAGGTTGATGATTAAATATGTATAAATCGAGAAAACTAACCTAGACAATAAAAAAAAAGAATGAGAAACCCACACGCTAATAATTGTGAAAATTTGTATGTATGTGCCAACTAGCAAAATACTAATTAAAACCGATTATAAGTAGGTACATATTAATATAGTAGAAAACAAATTTAAATAAATATTTACATTATACACGTTACAATTTACACGTCTATCAATTTAATATTAATGAGAGATTCTTGGCAGCAAAATACCAAAAAAACTTCTAAACCATCAAACAACAGGTTGATCGAGAGTACTAGAAAAAAAAAACTAACCTAAGCCAATAGTAAATTTATAGATCCATCTAAATAGTAAATATCCGCTAAATAAAATACGCACTAATATGGTCCGTCGAGCCGCCTTCAAACGACTCGACTTTCAAAACCTATAAAAATCAGACCGAGTTTCTTTGAAAATTTCAATCCGATCGTACCGGAAGGGCTCGAAATATCGATAGGATCGAGTCGGCGGCGATTTTCTACGCCAGAAGACGCCCGGCGACGAAGTTAGATACGTAACTGAACTGGCTCCTGCTGGCCTACGAGGCAAGCCCGGGCCGGCTTTTGGCTAGAGGCCTGCCGGGCGACGTTGCCGTCTATTTTGTTGCCGGATCATGAGAAACCTCTTGAGACGGTTGTTTTATCCGGTCCCGGAATTTAGTTGAATTGAATTCGATCTTGAGTTGGTTCCTAGGTATAGTTTCTTCAGACATAGATAAGAAATTTTGAACCACTGGTTGATTAAACTGGCCAGCAGGGAAAATTTTCCTTGTCAACAGGTTAAATTGTCTACTTTCGATCTAAAGCTGTTTTTTCCTAAATCTCTGTTGTCAATCTAGGAAACTTTCTTCAAGAAGTCTCTTTTTCATCTACTCCACTTCTCCAGTTTCTTCTAGGTCTTCTGGGCCAAACATGCGAATTTACAAGAAAAATAACCTTAGGATGGGCATCATTTGGGAGAATGAGAGATGTGTTTACCGTTGACATTCCATTATCCCTGGAACGAAAAGCATTCAACCAGTATGTCCGCCCAGTTCTGATCTATGGTGTGGAGACGTTGACACCAAACCTCAGCGGAAAAGTTGACAGTAAGTAAGTAAGTAAATAAGTAATAATAAGTAAGGAATAATGAATCCGCATAAGAACTGTGGTAGATGATATTGTAGAACGTATCGCAAAACAAAAGTGGAAATAGGCAGGTCACGTCGGAAGATCTGAGGACGGAAGATTGACGAAGGAACTCATTGAGTGGTACCAAAAGCCAACAAACGAAACCGAAGAAGACTTCCCTCTCGCAGAACAGAGACAACTGGAAAATTTTAGAGGAGGCCTATGTTCAACAGTGGACGTGAAAAGAGCCTTGATAAATTGATGATGTTTCAAAATCATTCAGGAGTAGAATTCAGTTTAGGTAGAAATCAATCAAAACTTTCTATCCGTTATTAATTTAACAGCAAATACACGACCTTATCTGCTGTTTGCAAATCGCAAATCTAGACGGGTTTTCTAATAATGACTACAGAAGAAATACAAATATTATTGAAAGGAAACTTCATTTAACCAAGTGATTCAACTCAGAGATCACAAGTTTTGGTAAGAAAGCAACTCAAATAATAAGAAACCCATATGGTTCGTTGACAGTCAACAAGTTCACTTTATTAGATCATATTTAATCCTATTGATAGTATTATCCGTCAAATATCGCGAAAGATACTTTATTACAGGCTGAGATGGAGCTCTAATACTCGTGATGTATTAGGTAACTATGACTGAGGGTGGCCTTTTTTTCCCCTTATTGCCACCTCGATCCTGGCTACTGATAACTGTTTCTCTCAGACACTGATCTGGTGCAATTTAACTGATGATGATAATACTATCACTGATAGGTACTCAGACACTGGCGTAAATCCTCTGCCTGGGATTTACATTGCCTGATACTGACACGTGGATTCTCTACCTGGGATTGATACGTCTACTGCTACTCTAATACTGGCATTTACAGTCAAAAAGGCGCTAAAATATATAATTCACAGGATGTTTAAAAAAATCCAAAAATAACTATTCAAACCTCGTTATTCTACAATAAACTATCGCTGGGATATACCGTCTTAAAGTATGTGTGACGTCAGGCCAAAATCTCGGAAGAATTACTTTTGAAATCCCTGAAAATCTTTAAAATCCCTAAAAAAATTTAAAAATCTCTAAGAATCCCTTAGAATCTCTAACATCTAAAAACTCGCTCGGATGTTTATCCTTTCGAATGTACCACTTGTAATGCGAAATTTAAATGCATAAGCAATTTGAAGCAACCATCTTCAAACTCACTCGGACAAAGGGCAAACCACCTAGGAATTCTTTGCCAAAAATGTGGGGAATTTAAAAGAATTTGTGGGAAATTTAGAGGAATTTGTGGGGAATTTGAAGGAACTCATCGAAATTTATGAGAAATTAGGGAATTTATAGGGAATCTGGAAGTATTTTTATATGGAATTTGGTAGAATTTGTGAGGAATTTGAAGGAAATTGTAGGGTCATGACATCACTGAGGTTCACATTCTTATTATAAGGAATAGTAATAAATGGAAATTTTAAATAAAATCTAGTTTTTATTAAATAAATCCTCCCAAAATTACACTTCATGATTTACAGGTCCAAATTTAAAAAATTCAAAAGAATAATGAATACAGTTTTTGTAGGCTGTTTTCCAAAATTTTTCATGTTACTGTTTTTCACTGGAAAAATTTGTAACTTTGGGAAAATGAGCTTCATACCTTCCTTTCTACATGCAAAAAGTTTCAAAATTTTCCCTTCACTAGTTTTCCAGGAAAACTTTGAAATGTGTAAGACTGTATTTTCAATTAATTCAGTTATTGCAGGTTAATTTTCAAGATTCCTCATGTAATTTTTTACTGGAAAAATTTGAAATTTTGGGAAAATGAGTTGCTCACCTTCCTCTTATACAAAAGGTTTCAAAATTTTCCCTTCACTAGTTTTCCAGGAAAACTTTGAAATATTTGAGACTGTATTTTCAACTAATTCAGTTTTTGTAGGTTGATTTCCAATATTTCTTATGTTGTTATTTTCCACTAGAAAAATTTGAAATTTTAGAAATATGAGCTTCTCACCTTCCTCTTTACATGCAAAAAGTTTCAAATGTTTAAAATTTTATTAGAACAAAAAAAAATCCTGTAAAATCCTGTGACCATTTTCAAAATCCTACAATATCAATAAAGGAATAAAGATCTAAAAATCTGTATATGTACATATTGTAAGGAGTTAACCACAGGAAAAACTTATTGCAACAGCCAGTTTATGTAACAATTCGTTTAAATTGGATGTCAATTCACAACAAGTAGTTTTATTGTAGGAATCAAGTGAGAAAAAATGCAATTTGTGGCACCGCAAGCTCTGGGACATGTAAATGCCGTGAATCTTAATAAAATGAAAAATGGTCTTGTTCATGGTGTTGATATAATACCTAAAGGCCCTATTCACGTTGAGATCAGTATCGATACATGTTTCGCAACATGTATCTGGGATTTGTATCCATATTTTAACTGCTGCTACACGTTGAGATGAGCTCAGTAAACATCAGTTCAGTCACAAGTAAAGTTCAATCAATAATTTATATAAATTCAAAAATTCCTTCCAAAACTAACGATCTTCCATGTTGGAGACAACACTGTTTATATATTATACAGACGATAATGCCATCTGATAGCGATACAGCGATGCTGAGACAGACAAATACACAATGCAACTTGTATCCAGATACAGATACTTGAAACATGTATCGATACTGATCTCAACGTGAATGGGGCCCTATATCAGTATTGATACTGAGACGATGAACAAGAACACGAGAAAACTATACTACCGTACTCTGACAATGTGTCACTGACACTGACGTGAACTCTCTACCTGGGAGTCACTTTATCATATTGATACGTGAACCCTCTACCTGTAGTGCGTACCATCAAATACTGCGCTCAACAAATTAGGATTCAACTTTTTCCCAAAGCAAGGTAATTCAAGGCGAACAGCTTTAAGAAAGGGGAAAGTGTTATAAATATAGCAAATTGATAGAATTGTGCACAATCTAACTGATGGAAAGTGAGCAAATTTACAGAGGCATTGAAGAATGTAACAACCTGTATCTATTCACAAGAATTCCATTTGGTGTAACAAATGGAGTAGCATGTTTTCAATGTTGTAAAATTTAAATCAATGTCTCATAGAATTTATTTAGTTGCCCTTTGCACACTCTCTCTCTATAATGATATTTTTCCTGAAAAAATAAATGGCCACTAAATTCAGTTGGCGCTCCGAGAACGGAAGTGCATTAAAAAAGCCACAATGAAGGGACATAGGTTCAGGGCTTTTGTTGCTTAGAAAATATGGAGAAGTGTTTTTTTGTTTTTGTATGTAGAGAGTGAAGTCATATATAGAAAATGATTTACTATTATTGAATTCTAAAAAAATCAATATCTTTGTCACTTATGTGAGTTTGAAATGGAATCGAGAACTATGATCGACAAAAAGATTCTAAAAACTTATGGTGGTAGGGACTGTGTTACTGCGCACACTGTTGTCTCTCTTTTCGGAAAGAACTTTTGGGTACTCCGGGGTTTGGTAATCAAACAAGTTATTCCATTTAATATCATGCAAATGGATTAGGCAGCATCGGCTCACTTTTTGGTTTGAGCATGCGTACAACGGAAATCGGTCAAAATGACATATTTCGGCAATTTTTCCTTAATAGTAACAGATTTCAATGGTTTAACAACGGTTCTTCAAGCTAAAATATGTCACTTCGTACAAAATCCCATTTAATTTTTTTGGGTCCCTGCTCGGGCGCCAAATTTGTGGTTGGAAGGTAGCTGGTGCAGAATGAAGGCCAAATGGCATAACTCGGAATTGGAACAGCCCCAGACCAGGCACAATAATTGCGGTTATTGGTTTGCTCTGTTCAACCAATGGTACCTGCCAGTGACCCTGTTTAAGATCTATGCTGAAAATAAATCGTATTTGTTGGAGCTTGTCCAAAATGCCATAAATTTTTTGAAAATCAATTCAGAACTGATATTTGCCATCTTTTTTCCGGACAATGCCACCAGACTCGATTATTTCATTTCTTTCGGTAATATCGAACGCCACCTTCAGTATTATAGTGACTGAGAGTCCACTTTGTTCCAGGTAGCTTATTACAGTGGAAAAAATATCCCAGAGGCCAAACAAGAAGCTTTCAGTAGGTATACAATTTGAACAATTTGTTATATAAATTCAAAATTTATCAAGTACAAATGCGTGGATTGTTGCAGAACTCATGGGTGGACCTCTGCGGGACGAGCGCAATATGCTGTTCAAGTACAATATTAACTTGACTCACTCAATTGTGAGTTTTTATCATTGGTTCAAAAATTACACGTTTCAGGTAAGTGACTTACTTGAACAGTTCAATAATATATTGGTAAGTAGATGGCTGCGGAACTCGCTGTGCTCGTCCCGCAGAGGTTCACCTATGAATTCTGCAGTAATCTACTCATTTGTACTTGAACAATATGTTATATAAACTGGAAATTTATCAAGTACAAATGAGTGGATTGTTGCGG